ACAACATAGAGCATCTCCATCATCTGAAGTGTTTGCGGTATTGCCTTGTGGTTTGAAGTTTTTATTTAGACTCCAACAATCCTTCTTCAAGTGACCATTCTTTCCACAGTTGTAGCACTTTAAATTTTTCTTGCTTCTCGACTTTGATCTACCATATTTGTGACTGCTACTTTGGCCACGTTCTGTTGATCTCTCTCTCATCGTTCTCAATGCTTCTGCTTGTTGCAGATTTACTTGTCTGTCTTCTTTGTTCTTGCGCCGATTTTCTTCTTGTAGAACAGCAGCTGCAACGTCATCGAAGACTAGACTGGTGGCATTACTGTTTGTCAAGTTGATGATGAGTTGATCATACGAATCAGGTAGACTTTGAAGTAGAAGTTCAGCACGGTCTTATTCTCCTATTGTACATCTTAAGAATGTAAGCTGAGAAAATAAAGTGTTTAATGTGTTTAAGTGCTCCGTCACTGAAGTAGATTATGGCATCTGTAGAGTGTACAATTTCCTCTTAAGGAAACTTTTATTGTGCAATATGGTTTTGTACAATTTGGTGAGATGATCTCATATCTCCTTAGCTGCCTTCGTCTCCTCGATGTTTGACAATACTTCATCTGCTAATGCTAGATGAAAATTTTCCATAACATTCTCGTTCAATTCTATCCATTTGTTGTCATCTGTGAAATCTACCGTCCTTTCGCTGATAGCTGCTAGACAACCGTCTTTCCTCAATATGGTATTCATCTTCAATTTCCACAATGAGAAATTTCTCCCATTGAATTTTTCAATATCAAATTTCATTGCCATAGCTTCTATTACGGATAGCTCCCACTATTTCACTATCGTGAATAGTTCTCTGGAACCTTCAAAGAATGAGTAATACCTTCTTATTTTCTTATGTTGGAGGATCCACCTTTTGGTGGCAACTATAAAGACAATAAGTAGATATTACACACTCTAATTTGGCTCTGATGCCAATTGTTGCGGAATACGGCTATCGGATAGAGCAAAATCGCAACTGATAATTTGAGAAAATAAAGATAAAGAAGACACAAAATTTACGTAGAAAACCACTAAATAATATAGGGCAAAAACCACGGGCAAAGGTAGAAGAATTTCACTATGAGAAAATAGGAATTACAACTTCTCTCGATCTAACAAGGAGAAAACAATGACAATTCTCTCTTGATAAAAAGGAGAAAATAACTCTCAAGAAAACTCTCTAAATTCTCTAGTATTGGGAGAAAACTAGAATGATTTGGGATGATTTTGAAACTAAATGGGATAGGGTATTTATAGTTGAAGCTTAAGGATTAATCTTGTGAATATCCTAAAGTGTATGGACTAAATTGTAATTATCCCTTTAACAAATTTCAACAAAAGTTGTTGTGCCTTTCGGTGCATTTAATACTTGCTACTTTCGGTGCAAGTTGTTGCACCAATTCTTGACTTCATGCATTTGCACTTTCGGTGCAAGTCAACTTTCAACAATTATCTGCAATGGAATGTGATAAACATCCAAAACCTGTCATGTTATCATCACAAAAATGAAGATCTTGTTTCTTTCAGGACCAGAGAAAAAAATCTGATACTTTTGCCATTAAGCACATTAAAATGGTGAAAAAACTAAATACTCCAGGAAAATAACTATTTCAAGTAGCACCTTCATACATGCTGAAATAAGCAACTCAAAATGCGGAATAATCATTAGAAACATAAAGTACATGTTGGACATAGTGAAATACCTTCAATTACCAGCATTCTGTCCCCATCCTTCTTACTTTTGAGCACATCTATGTTGACATATGTAGCTCCATTGCAAACCTGAAATCAGAAATGAAGATACTTGCAAAACTAGGAAAAGGAAAGCAAATATTACACAATAGGAAGTATTGGCATCAAGTACCTCGTCCAAAGAGTCGTCTAGAGGTTCCGCAAAAGCTGTAGAAGTAAAATAATAAACATAGCCAAAAAGGCCATAAGAGCAAGGAAATGTTAACAAGAGAAGAACGGCTAAAATGCATAGCAAAGTTGTAAATATATGTCAGACAACTCTACCTCCAAGGGCCCATTATGACTCGTTGCATTGGAATGTAGAAATTTTGGATGAACCCTGACATGATCCATGCCACCTACAAGTAAAATGAAATTAAGGGTACAAGCATTGAACAAAATCAATAAATAAAGAAACAGATATTGTACAATTAATAGTTTAGGTTCCGCATGATTAAATTGGTAACTTGAATTTTCCAATAAATTTAGCAATGCAAAAACAGAGTAAAGGGTATAGAGAGGTAAGCATATTTTCAAGCAATGCAAAACTCAAAATGCAGACACCCCACTGCCTTCAACTTCGCTCATAACTCATAGATTCTCATCTTCCGATGGCAACACTAAAAAAGGATTCCAAATACTTTTGTTTCTCCAGGTTCCAAATTAGGAACCAAATTAACATTGTCAACTTGCAAGGAAGATATATAACTGAATTATTTATAATATAACATTATAATCGACAGAAATACCTGTAGATAACTCCCAATTGCTAGATGGACCCCCATCATAATCCCTGGCCTTCCATAACTGCTTGCAAAGCACACTTGAACTCACAACTACTTGCCGCCTGTTCCAGCGGGTGCACCGTCGTATGAGGCCAACGGAATAGGATCCGGATCAACCGACGGTAGAGGAGCCAAAAACCCCAGCGGTAGCAAAAAATTAACATCATTCACCTTCCGCTTCTTCGAAGCACTACCTTCAAGTCCTTACCCGGCAGAAACGACACCGTCTTCGCTATCGTCCAGATCTTCCGAACCGCTCGAGTCCGAATCACTGGTACTGCTGCTGAGCTCGATAACCGAGGAAACTTGTTCCCCTACAACACTTAGTTTCCCTCTTTCAGCGGTTAACGTTTCCATAATCCCTCGCTTCACGCGAACGTCCATGGATTACAGGCCAAAATAAATAAAGACGGCGTCGGCGTTGGCGTTTGAGCTTCTGGAGTCAGCCAAAAGGGTTGTCGAACTTCCGTTTCCACGTCGACCCCATGGCTTCCTGACGGTTTAAGTTTTTCAATTCATTCTCTGAACCCAACTGTACTGCATCCCAGCTTCGATAATTCACCCACAAAATTACGGTAAAAAAATTAATATTGCATCTCTAATACATATCAAAGCTACTCTAATTATTCATTTTCTTAAAATATTCATACTAACATATATTCGGACAATACGAAAGCATGAAGATATAATTATATATTAGTAGAAATCATCATTACTTTTTACTATTTATGTGCCCACTGAAATTTGAGGATTTAGAATAATGAAAACATTCATTATAAAAATACTATTTTCGATTCCTAACAAATATTTTCCATCACTATTATAGTACACAATAAAAAATTATTGTATATATAGTCGTTATTTGGTAAAAAATACCGAAAATATTGCTTCTTAGATTCTGCAATTGGTCGTGTTGAACTGTTGGCAGTGGCTTTGAATAAAGATGATAACTTCTTCTACTCGAGAAATCTTTCCTTCATTTACTCGTTTATTGCGCGCGTACCATAATGCCCAGATGGTTACTAATATCTCCTCATGCTTTCCTGAAGGAGTGTTATTCAGGGTCCAGCTTAGCCACTCCTTGAAGTTCCATTGCAGACTTTGCAGTAGCCATTGGTAAGACAGCTTTTGCCAAACTGCTAATGCCAACGTACAGTCTTTGATGATGTGTAATCCTGATTCAATCTGGTTGGGGCATAGAGTACAAAATGGTTCGTTTATAATATGCTTGTAATACAACATCTGTTTTGTTGGGGCATAATTATTGCATAGTTTCCATACTTGGATTTTAACTTTTCTCATTATTGTAAGCCATTAAAGTGTGAAGATAAAAACTTATGTTATTTTTTATAATAGTTTGAAATAATTAAAAGGTAATATTTTTTTAAAATTCTTAATTTATTGACAACACACGCTATGTAGACATAGTTTTCGTTATGTTTTTCGTTATTGGTGCATGTTTAAAGGGATTAACATATGGATTTGATGTTTAGAACATGTTTATAGGGTTTTGGGTGAAGTTTGAGGTAGTGTTTGGTACAATGGTGAATATTATAATTAACTAAAATATATATCCTATTCTTTGAGAGCAGATTACCATGCTTATCTTTTGATGGGGTTGAATGTGGAGCTGTGATGAAAAAATCAAAAAACTCGAATTGCCTGCATTTACAGCTCAGATGACTTGCGGATTACAAGGGCAGGTGCATCAAGTAAAAGATGGTATACTTAACCAATTTTCAAACCAATCTTAATTGAGAAAAGAGATGAAGAACCTAGTACATTCAACCTGTTTGCAATTAATCCACACGGTGATAGTATGTAACACCCTTAACTTATATACGTATCCGTATACGAGTCAAAGATGTCACATCAGTCATACAAAATAAATACTATTCGAAAATCAGTAAAATTTTGTTTCTTTTAAAAGTCGACCAATATATTTAAAATAATAAAAATAACTATTCATTTTAATGTTCATTTAAACTAAAATAAAATACTATTTAATAAAATACTATTCATATCTAATAATGTTCATTTAATAAACTAGCATTTATATAGTTTAAATATATAAAAAGTTCAAACATATCGAATCAGAGCATCAAATATAAATATGTACATACCAACTAAGAAATATCATAAATATCATAAAGTTATCATATTGATTCTGGTTGTCTGAACTTGATCTCAAAATATGGGATGTCTGGCCTGGCTCCTTACTTCCCTGTCGACTTCACTTTATCTACGTGTGAAACATGTAACATCCCAAAAACCAAGTTAGTGACTTAAATGGAAGTTTTTGAAACTTAGTGATTAATTTCATAAAAGATTAAAAGTTTAGGGACTTAATTGGAAAAAATTGGTGTTGGAGTTAATAGTAAAGTTTGAAAGTAGAAAGGGTATAATGATCATTTGATATGAAATTTTTTATTTATCCCTTTATAAGGGATGTTACCACGTGGAAAGGAAGGGGAAAATGAAGAAAAGTCTGGATACTTGGTGGAGTTCTCTACTTCTTCTTCCCGTACCACCATGAATAAGGTAAGTTGGTCTCAAGTGAAGACTTTCTTTCATTTTTAAGTTGGGTTTAATTCTTGAGATGATAAGAAAGCTTAAGGGAAGTTTTAAATGGTTTAAAACTCAAAGATGAACAAGTTAGGAGAGATTAAAGAGAATGAGTTTTTAAATGAAATCTTGGAAAAAAGTTGATAAGTAGAATTGGAAGTTAAATTTGACTTGTCAATAGTTGAATTAATAGATATGAAGTGATAGAATTGGAATTAGAACATGTTGGAAATTTGGTAGAATTCTTAAATTCAAAATATAAGAGGAGGATTTTGAAGATAAAGATGTGATAAATGAGTACAAATGGGTTTAAGTATGTGTATGTGAGTTAAGAATATGAAAGGGGATGAAACATGAAGTGTTTGAGCTGAAATGAAGTAATTTTTGGGCTTAAAAAGTGATTTCTGGGCTAGGGGTATCGGTACCGATTCATCAGGTATCGATACTTCAAGAATAAAATTAAGGAAGTCATTCATGAGGTATCAATACCTGAAGAACAGTATCGATACCAAGGGTACCGATACCTTAAGGATGATATCGATACCATCTTTGAAACAAAAATTTTAGAATGCAATATGGGTATCGATACCTAGGCATGGTACGAATACCTCAGTTAGGGGAAATATCGATACCCTATAGGGGGTACCGATACTACTTTAAATAGAAAAGGAAATTTAGTCTTTATTCTAGTTCAAGAAATTAAGGATTCAAATCATGATATTGGAATGTTGATATGTGTATAAATGTATGATTATGTAGATATCGATCGAAGACAAGTGTAAGACGAGTTGAAGCTATAAGGTTTTTCAAGAATCGTAAGTGATTGCATGGACTAGTGAGGCCAGGTGAGTGCATCATATTTTATAGGATTATATGGAAATTGGACTTGTGATAAGTCTATTTCCTATAGTTATAGTGTATGAAGTCTTGATTATAAGTATGTGAATGACATGAAGTGTATGTATGCTTGATTATATGAGTTGATATGTTCTTGTATGTGCTATGTGCTATGTGCTAGATGGTATCGATACCATCTTTGAAACGAAAATTTTAGAATGCAATATGGGTATCGATACCTAGGTATGGTACCAATACCTCAGTTAGGGGAAGTATCGATACCCTATAGGGGGTACCGATACTACTTTAAATAGAAAAGGAAATTTAGTCTTTATTCTAGTTCAAGAAATTAAGGATTCAAATCATGATATTGGAATGTTGATATGTGTATAAATGTATGATTATGTAGATATCGATCGAAGACAAGTGTAAGACAAGTTGAAGCTATAAGGTTTTTCAAGAATCGTAAGTGATTGCATGGACTAGTGAGGCCAGGTGAGTGCATCTCATTTTATAGGATTATATGGAAATTGGACTTGTGATAAGTCTATTTCCTATAGTTATAGTGTATGAAGTCTTGATTATAAGTATGTGAATGACATGAAGTGTATGTATGCTTGATTATATGAGTTGATATGTTCTTGTATGTGCTATGTGGTTTATGTAAAAACATTATTAAGTGATAATGGGAGAATATAAAATAAGTTATGAAATTATATGAGTATAAAAGATAAGTCATGTGATAAGATCTATGCGATATATGAAAATGAAAATATATGTATATGAAGAGTCATAAGAGAACAAATATAAGTTATATGATAATGAAATATAAGACTATGTGAATACATGGTTATGAGATAAAATATGTAATAATAGGAGAATATGATGAAAGTGAATTCATGAGAAGCGATAGAAACTAGGTAAACATGTGTAAATGTTATATGAATAATAGAAACATGAGTTGGACAAGTATATAGTGGTATGATCAATTATGAGAATTAGTATAATAGAGTTATTTGATTTAATGAGAATTGAGGAAACTAAATAAGATTGAATTATAGAATGAAATGGGAATAATATATCAATTAGGAAACTTGAATATAAAGTGATGATACGAACATATAAGATAAGTTATATGCTAATGATCTATGGAGCTATATGAAAAGGTTATAAGGAATATATGAAATTGAATTAAGTAAATAGATTAATTAGTATATAAATAAACTACTATTAAGTGATATATGTTTATAAATATGACATAGGTTATGTAATATAAGTGAATACAAAGAAATGACGCATAAGGTAGATGATATGTTATAAGTTATGATATACATATATGATATATTTTATCAAGTAATATGAAAAGACTTGGAAAGTTGATATAAGCTATGTGAAAGTGATCTAGTTGTCTGTATGTGATATGTGAATTATGTGACAATAAGTTATATGAAAATAAGTGTAGTGATTACCTGATCACAATAGATAAGTAAGAGAATATGAATGATATGATAAGAAGCTATGAGCCTAGGTGATATGAATAAGTGACTATGTGATAAGTATAAAGATAATGCCCATGTTATGTGTCAGGAGAGCTAGAGGTATAGTTGGCATGCCAAGATTCGAGGGTTCTATGTGGTCTTTCGGGACATATATGTAATCCTTTGGAACATATATGAGGTACTTCGGTACACTTATTTGGTCCATTGGAATATGTATATGGTTCTTAAGAAGTGGTACTTCGGGACATGTGTTGTAACACCCCCAACCCGTATCCGACCCGAATACGAGTCCGAGATGTCACATCAACTTTTAAAAACATTTTCTTATATCAAATAGAGAAATATTCAAACTCAATTTAAAACATACTAAATAATTTACATATAACTACTCAAAACGTTTACAAAACTGTTCAGAGCTTATTCAATTTACTCTTATAAATACATGCCAACTAGATTTTATATACTAAAATACATATTATTCATTTCTCTTCTGATCTGACCTTTAGTAAGGAGAACTGACCAGTCTTGCTCCTCTAAGCTTATCTTCTCGCTGTTCGGAACCTACGTGTGAAATACTCACACGCTAAGTCGATGACTTAGTGAGGCATTAAACTTATAAATAAATCTCGAATTACTTCACCGTGTATGAACATATCATATAACTCATATACTTTTACATGTAACACATGCATACATACCTAAATACATGTCATCATTTATGCTTTTACCATACTCATATATTATGATTTATAATTATTCACATATACATTAACTCATAAAACACATATAACATGTCATACAATTCATGTCACCCATCATATATATATATATATATATATTGCACACATTGTATTCAAGGTTATTTCTTTATTAGCCCATGTACATTATTGAGAACTTAAGATATGCGAGTACTATGAGGTTGTGCACATATATGATGTCACAACTGCTCATATAAAATCCATTGAGTGGCATGTGAAATTTGTCCCTAAGGACCTATGAATATGTCTCATATATTGTGATCATGTAATCACATTACTATCTTCATATATCTCATTATTATCTGTCACATATTACATATACTTATATCCATACGATTCAATATCATTGAACTTATTCACTCTTTCATGTTATCACACATATATAATCTAATATTTCTATCAATAACATATAGAATTACGCATGTATTCATATGTACTCTTTAATGTAATTTGCTTAGTAATGTTATATACTCATATCCTATAATAATTTCACCTAGTTCTCCCTCATAGAGTGTATGATATAGGCTCATATAATCTTATTTTATTCTATAAGTAATTTCTACTCATCTTATCTCACTTATCTATTTCCCTCACATAAATCATTTATAATCGTTCACATGATTTAATTTCACCAATTTGAATTCATACAAATCATATAACCTATATTACTTATCTCACATTATTTATACTAGTTTAATCTATTTATTTAATATCATTTCACATGACTCTTATAATATTCTTTCATAAAGCTTTGTAGTTATTCACTTATAACTCTTAAATCCTAGTGTCCTTTAATTATAAAAAGAATCTTCCCTAAGTTACATATTATTTTCATAAGGTCTTATAACCTTTCTTTATAATCTCTTATACCATATAATATAATTTATACTTGATTATCTTTTGCTCACATGCATTTATATCAAATAATTCCTTAACTTATAGCCTATGTCACATGTTCATTTTATTTCGTATGTCTTTATCACATAACTTATTTCATATTTCATATTATTACCTAATTAATCTCTTATCATGTATTCTCATAGTCTTATATTTTATTTACATATATCTCATAGATCTTATCATAAAAACTTATCTTTTATACTCATGTAATTTCTTGACTTATTTCATATTCTCTTATTATTACTTAATAGTGTTTTTACATGGATCACATAGCACATACAAGAACATATCAATTCATACAAATAGACATATATACACGAATATTAAACACATGTTCTGGTTCATAATTTCATGTGTAATACTATAGGAAATAGACTTGTCGCAAGTCTCATTTCCATCAACCATTATATACTATCAAATATAAACTCACATGGCCTCACTAGTCAATATCGTTCTCATATCTTTTCTTCGATACCCAATACTTGTCGATTGATCTGGACTTGCTCTCTATTGATATCTACATAATCATACATTGATTCATATTAGTATTCTAAATGGCATGCTCTACTTCTCTACTCTTTCATTTCTCCAACTAAAGAAAAATAAATTTTCTTTCTTATTGAGAGTGGGTATCGGTACCCTATATAGGGTATCGGTACCTTCCTAACTGAGGTATCAGTACCCCTTAGGTAATGATACCCTAAGTGCATTCTGTAAATTTTCGCTCAACGATGGTATCGATACATTCCTTAAGGTATCAGTACCCCTGGGTATCGATACTGTTTTTCAGGATATCGGTACCCTTTGAATTCCTTCTTAAATTTCACTTTGGAGGTATCGATACCTGTTGAATGGGTACCGATACCCCTTTACATAGACTTAACTCATCTACTCATACTTAACCTCATTAACTCTTATTTATCACATCTTAAATCTCAAAATCCTATATTCCATATGTAATTCAAGAATTATATCAAATTTG